AGAGACACAGAGACAGAGACAGGGACACAGAGACAGACACAGAGACAGAGACAGACACAGAGACAGAGACACAAAGACAGAGGCAGAGAGGCAGAATATCCCAGGGAAGTATCTGTGTCTGATTCATGGAGAGATGTGAAGAAAGCGTTCAGCAGCACGTAGGTCTTAGACAATGCTGTCCTTGTCCTTGTGTCCTTTCCTCTGCACCTTGGCTCTGTTATGATGCTGGCACTGGGTCTTTGACTGCCTGAGGGGCTAGGAGGGTCCCACCAGTTAGCAGATGCAGACAGTCTCCTTGTTATCCCCATGGCTTCAGTTGTGAAGGGCCTGGTACAGGGTGTCATGCTTAGAATGACCTGGGTGGGACTGCAGTAGAGGACCTGGGTGGCCATGCCAAGTCAGGGCATTGGGCAGCTCAGTAGTCAGGACGTGCATGTTACAGATGTAGCTTGCCTGCACAGACTGACCTACCTCCAACCCCTTGCCTCCTCACCTCTGGGTCCGCACGAGGCTGTCCAGCTCTTCCACATCCTTTGGAGATCTGGCCTTAAATGGCTCAATGGTGAACTTTTTCTCTGCTGTCTGGAGTAGCTGGGGTTCTCCCTGCTGCTGTAGTGACTCCCATAATGCCATTGTATCACTCAAGGAGGCCCTGTGGAAGGAAGGCCTCAGACCCAGGCACAGCAGCAAGGTGAGATCACAAGGGGGTAGGGCTCTACAGAGGGACCTCCCACCTCCTGAGATACTTTTCTTAACTTGATCTCCTTCTTCCATGACCATGTCAGCCCTTACTGGTTCACCTTTCTTGAAAAGGGACACTTTTTACTCTGGATGCCAGGAAGCTCAGTGCTAAATTCTGGGTACAGCTGTGGCAGGCCTTCTAACTTAAGTAAACTGGGTTTGTCAGGAATGTGGGAGGAACTGTTCTGGAGATTACCCTGAAGTGCTCAAGCATCCTGCAAAACGGACTTGGCTGAGCTGAATGAAAGAGCCTAGATCCCTATCCTGAGAGGTGCAGAGAGTCCTCGCAGGACCACAAGCAGCACTGGAATCTGACCAGATTCACATTCTAGGAAGATTGCTCTGCTGCTTGAATTCAAAGAACAGCAAAACAGGAAAGACCAGAGGCAGAGAAGCTAAGAGGGGCTGTGTCTCTGAGCCTGAGAAAATGGTGTCACACTCTGGTGACCGAAGGATGAAACCAATCTAAATTCAGGCTAGGCTGAGATTCTAGATGTGTTGCAGTGCCAGGCACACTGCAGGTATTTAAATATTGGCTAGCAGAATGACACTCCCCCCACAGGCTGCATGGCTAGTGGCAGTGGTTACCTTTCTCTGATCCTCAGTACTGTCATCTTATAATTGGAGGGGACTATTCTGTACCATCTGATGCTATACCCATGGAATAGGGGTCCCCAAAGTTATAGTCCATGTCTGCCCTGTGCCCTGCCCACACCTGAAACTGGTGACACAGCTGAGTCCCACGAGGTTTCCCAGTCCAGAGGGCTCAATGCCAGTCTGACGAAGGTCCAAGGAGAAGTCCCGGCTGGCTGTCTCCAAGGCCCTGCCCAGGACATACACATCTGGGGGGGTGAGCCGTGTGCCCAGGAAGGAGAGGTACCCAGGGAGCTGGTGTGCAACATACTCCCAAATACCAGGTTCCTGTGTTTCATGGGCACAGTGTAGCAGCTCCAGCAACCTGCCAGCCTGAAGCGTCCCCAGCTTCAGGCGCTTCAGGTACCTGGTAAGAACCTTCCGTTTCCTGTCCGCCACTGCAGCCACTGCAGGCTCCACCAGAGCTCCCAGGCAGTGGGCACGAGGCTGGAAAACCAATCCAACCAGAAAGCGGGGTACCCCCTCCAGCCAGTTGTCATAGGGTCTCTTCTTCCTCGGGGTCAAGGCCAGGTACTGAGGCAGCTCCTTGTCTTTGATTTCATTGCACAGTGCCAGCCACACAGCACCCAGAAAACACTGAAGCAGAAAACTGGAGAAGGCCAGTTGGGCCTCTGCAGTCCCCAGGGTTGGCTGCAGCAAGCCTTGAGTCACTGCCCAGGTTTTCACCTCCACTGATGGAAACTGGGTTTCTTGCAAGGTGCTTTGGTGTCTTCGTCCCAGCTCCCAGGCCAGCTTGGCCAACTCAACTAAGGCTCCAGGAGGACTGTTCCGAGCTGCAGGGCCTAGCAGGCCAACATAGAGTCCTGTAAGTGTACAAGGTAGCTGGGCCTCTGTGCCCTGTTCTAGCAGGGCCTTGGAGAGCTGGCACACAGCACTGCACAGAACAGGGCTGTGACTATGGGTGAGGAGAAAAGGCTGGACCTCCAGGAGGCCCAGAGCCTTGTCTTGATTCCCTGCCATCCCTGAGTCCTCAAAGTAGTGCCTCACGTAAGTCTGGGCCTGTTTAGTAGAGAAACTGGGCACCTCAAAGATGGCATCTGCCTTGCTCAGGCTCTGAGCCAGGCGGCCCCGGGGCCGGGCTGTGAGGAGCAGGGTGCAGCCTCGTAGAAGCTTCCGCTGGAAGATCCCAGCCAGCAGTCCCCGGAGGGAGCAGGGTTCTGGGGACAGAGGTCCACAGGATCCATGCAAGAGGCCATCTTGGGCTTCTAGCTCCTCAAAAGCATCTAGAATGAGCAGAACACGGTCCGGATGCCTCACAATGTAATCATAGACCTCGTCATCCATGGCCAGTGGCTGCAGGCTTGGGGGACAGAGCAGATCCCGCAGGTGGTAGGTGTTCCCAGGACAATCCAAGCAATGACAGGGGACATAGAAGACAAAATCATATTGTGGCAACTGGCCACGTGCCCAAGTGTGACTCACTGTCCTGGCCCAGTGGCTCTTGCCCTGGCCAGCCTTGCCCAGCACAGCGACCACCTGTGTCTCTCGTGGTCGCTTGCAGTCACCGACAACCTGAAGTACCTCGGCCAGACCACCATGGGCTATCTGGCGCTCTGTCCAGTCTGGAGTGGCCAGCTCCCTTTCCTGACTCTTGTTGCTGCCTCTTTCCAACCTGGCTCGCACCAACTCCATGGGCACCAGAGGACCACTTGAGCTCTCGGACGATGCCTGGTACTTGTCCTGTAGGGAGTGCTGAAACTGCTCCACAGACTCTACAAAAGCCAGAGTGACTCAGAGTGTTAGCAGAGTGAGGGGATGGGGAAGGTGAGACCAGAGCTGCCCTGCTCACCAGGTTTTCCATCTACAGCTCACAGCTGCTCACTGCCAACTCAGTCATTCATGCACACCCTCCTGCTCTCCCAGAGGACAGGGGGATGTCTACTGTGGATAAAACCCAGGGCATGTTATCTGCCACCGAACTGCTTCCCAGCCCCTCTATGACCTGCCGTAACCCTTCAGTTACTCACTAGGCTGGGCCACTCATCCCTATGGGGTTTGGGAGGGGAGTTGGTTATTTGTGGATTCAGCATGTTAAGTGAGATGAACCAGGCTTAGGAAGGCATATATCACATGTTTCCTTTCATATGTGGAGCCTGGAAAACACACACACACACACACACACACACACACACTAAACAATCAAGCAATCAAATGTGATTTGAAGCCTTTAAAAAAAATACAGTGGGGCTAGTGAGGTTGCAACTGTTGACAGAGTGCTTGCCTACTGTGTATGTCGCCCTGGGTTTCATAACCAGAAACCCAAGTGGTACTCTGGTGCCCATGGTCCTCTGGTGGTCCATGGTGCAGGCCTGTAATCCCAGGACTTGGGAGGTAGAGGCAGGAAGATTGAAGTTCAAAGATATCCTCAGCTACATAGCAAGTTGGAAAGAAAGAAAGAAAACAGAAGAAAGGAATAAATAAATGAAGGAAGGAGGTAGGAAGGAAGGAGAGAGGGAGGGAAGGAAGGAGGGAAGGAAGGAAGGGGGGAAGGAAGGAAGGAAGGAGGGAAGGAGGGAAGGAAGGAGGGAAGGAGAGATGAAGGTAGTGGGCACTGTGTTGCACACCTGTAATCTTAGTACTCCAGAGGCTGAGACAGTAAAGTAAGGGATGTGAGTGTGAGGCCAGCCTGAGTTACAGAGTCAGTTCAAGGGTGTGAGTCAAATAGTGAAAGTCCATCTCAAAACAAACAAACAAACAAACAGTGTCAACAGCAACAACAAAAAAACAAAAAACAACCAGCCAACAAAAAACTCAAAAGGTTGAGACTCGGGAGCCCATATGTTTGAGTTCAAAGTTTGACTCCTCCATTTGTGTGGCCGCTCCTCATTCCTGTATGGCCTGCTCTGCCTCAGGCTAGTTCATCTGTGAAGCAGAAGTGACCCCGGGACAGTACGAAGCCTAGGGCTGCACTCTGTGGGAGCACCCAGGCCTAGCTATTCTCCAATAGCTGACGTCCTCCATTGTTCTGTTCCTCACTTAACTTCCTCCACTCACACACTGGCTTTCCCTTTCCACTGTCTCCCTCACAAATGCAAGGTCAGTTCCCACGGTGCCTCCCAGGGGAAGGGACTTATGGCCTGTGTACCGCTGCTCCAATGGCAGAACAGATGTTAATCAATGGGGAAATCAATGGGATGATCCATGAATGGGTTAAATAGCAAATGAATGAGCAAGTGAGCCCACAACAAGGCACTGCATGAATGAACGGCGTGCCTTTTGAACTCTCATGTCAGGTCTCCAGGACAGGGGGCCTACTGTCACTCACCTGGCCAATTTGGAAACTTGATAGGAGACTCAGGACCTTCTTGGCATGAGGAGGGGGATGTAGTGTCCTCTGAGGATGGAGAAGTGTCAAGTTAGAGTCTGGGGAGTACCCACAAACTCCTCCAAGTGGTAGGGCATGCAGAGGGCAGAACCACAAGCCTGAGCTCCAAGACCAGGGTAAAGAAAGCTGCCCAAGATTATCTGATATCTCCAGTTTAGCTAGCTGTACTTTAAAACAAAATTTAAACCAATGTTTAAAGATATGGTAAGCCAGACATTGTAATATGTATAATCCCAGCTCTCGGGGGGTTAGATAGGAGAAATTCTGCAAGTTTATAGTCAACCTAATAGGCATATATCGAATCACAGGTCAGTTAGGGCTATATAGCAAGACCTCACTCCAAACAAAGAAAAGCAACATTCAAAAACATGCTATGTAAGTAAAGCCTAGGCTTTCAGTTTCAGAAGAGTCTGTTTTCATACCCTAAGGATCAACAGGAGGATGTGGCTTGTGGTTCTGCTTGGATGGACATACCCTCAGTCACACTATCGGCTCCAGTCCTCACACAGCCACCCTCAAGGTCAGTCATCCATGGGCGTGGCTTGCCCATGTCCTCAGGCAGCTCTGACTGTCTGAGAAATCTCCTTCCCCAGGGCCTGTTTCCAATGCCTCTGTCAGGGCCCCAGGCTCACCTGTTTCATTTACTCGACAGGTCAGCGCAGGTTCGGGCATGCTGGGCAGGTCAGCTGCGGATGGTGCGAAGGGGCTGGCAGAGCCAGGCCTATCTGGGGCCTCGGGGAGACTGGGGACAGTGGGGCTGCTTGAAGAGAGTACTTGGTTGACCTGGGGCATCTCACCTACACCAAAGATAAGAAGATATAACCATTAGGAACACATCCAGAAGTGCTCTGGGGTTTCATCTGTTAGGACCTCTCTGTCTGTGGAGAGCTGGAAGGTTGCAGGTTCAGAACCAAATTGTCTTGGGGAATCTTTAGCACCCACCCTGCAAACATTAATTGCCCACCTCTGTGTTTAAGACTGGCATCCTTAAGACTTCAGGTAAAAATCCTTTTTGGAATGTACCAGATGCTATTTCCACCAACCCAAAGGCGAAGAATGCTGTTAGATAGCATGGATGCCAGTGGAGGCACCCATCTTTATATAATGCTGAGGTTTCAATGTATTTGCAAGATACCTTGACTTACAACTTCCTTTGTCCTGTTACTATAAAACGGTCATTGAGCTGTCTCCATGTTGGAATATGGCATTTGAGGCACTCTGACTCTGTGTTCCTAGCTGTGGTCACTTATATCTGGCTTTGGAATAAATGATCTTTTATTGCTCTCGAGGTGAGTGCTTGCTGAGTTTGGGGAGAGAGGGAACCTCCCATTGAAGGCATCCAGGCTGAAACTGGGGAGGGAAGTCTGAGTTGCATCCTATCCCCATGTGAAGTGGACACAGGGTGCTCAAAGAAGCTGCTCCCTGGCACCCCCACTGTATGGGCAGTGCTCATTTCCCTACATGTTAGAAGTTGCCCCCTTGCTTCTGGGAAACCCTTGTCTAAGGAGGCCATGGACTTGAGTGGAAATGTCCCCACCTCATCCCTTAAATCCCAGCCAAGTCTTCCCAGTGCTTATTGGCAGCGTCTCTATGGTGGATCAACATTTAACTGATCAGAAAGCAAGGCAATTAGAGAGAGCTGTGCACAGATGCACAGTAAACTTCATCCCAGCACACTGGAGGAGACAGTTAAGTCTCCAGTCTCTTATTGTTTGGCTGAGTAATGAGTATTACAAATGTCAGAGTTTAAAAATAAAAATGAGGGGTTTGTTAGTTTTTTGTTTTGTTTTGTTTTTAAGGGCTGGAGAGATGGCACAGTGACTAAAAACATGCACTTTCCCAGTGATTCTGATTTGGATCTCAGCATCCATGTCAGGCTGCTCATAACGGCCTGTAACTCCCACTCCAGAGAGATCTGTCACCCCTGGCTTCTTCAAGCATTGCCGTCATGCATTCTGATGTGTGCGTGCACAAATACAATTAAAATAAACTAAAATATTTTTAATGCCTAAAAACTGAGGGGAAAGGAAATAATAACACAGACAAGGCTACAAGACCGGTCACATAGGCAGACCACCTTAGAGACACTCCCGTACTTTTTATTTTTGGGGGGAGAAACGAAGATAGAGAAAGGTTTGGGGAGAGAGGCTTTCTGACTAGGTGCTATGTCACGGTTGCCAGTGTCTGCAATGGGAGAGAACAAGGGCAGGGGTGAGGGAGGAAGGCGTGGCAGTCAGTTTCAATGCTGGGCTCCCACACTCACCGTGGTAGATTAAGAAACTGGAGAGCCCTGCACCAGGCCCTGAGATTTGCCAGAGTCCCTGGGGCAGAGTGGTGAAGATCTGAATGTGCCCAGTGGAGAGATCCAAATAGTTCAGTGAGGTCCTACAGGGGGGCACTGCAGGAGACAGAGGCAGTGAGGGGAACTGTGCACAGCACCCATCTTTGTACTATTGTTAGTAATGTGGAGTGAGAGACCAACTCCCTCTGAAAGGGCATTCATTTCTCCAGGAGCAGCAGCTGAACCTGTCCTGCCTATAGCAGTGTCCCTAGCTCACCAGCCAGTGTGGCTGACAGAGACATAAGGGGTGACAAGTGGGCAGGGGTGGCAGTGGAATTTCCTCAGTGGGGATGTTCCATTCTCTCCTCTTCTCTCACCCCACTTCCTGCCTCCCTCCTTCCCTCCTTTCCTCCTTCTCCCATGATGCTAGAATTCGACCAGGGTCTCCTTCATAGTAGTCACACTCTGCCTCTGAACTACTCCAACCCTGAGCCCTGGTGTTCAATGCTGGCTTGTGCTGCATTTGAGGGGTGCCTGTGCACCCCTAAATGGGACCCTTAGAACCACCTGCCCATCTCACCTAGCTTCCTGTGCTTTGAGTCCATAGCATGCTCTTCTGGGAAGCCTGCAAAGAGAACCCTGTGATCAGTGGCCCTGGGTTGGGATGTCCCCAGCCATGGAGATTTCTTGGGTCCCAGCAGGCTATGTGACCTTGCTTGAGGAATTGAGAAACTGTGTCCACTTCTTCCCTACACCTCAAGGTGCTGGCAAGTTCAGGGGCTTGAGCCCAAGTCTTAGCTATAAGGCATCTTGGCAGGTAGGCGAGAGTAGGGAAGAGGCAGAGTCACAGGCCAGGGGAAACTAGAGCTACAAAACTACTGCAGCCAACTGCTCTGGGCTCTGCCCAGGTTGCCCCCATAGCTTCCCAGAGAGCTGTAATACTTCCTCTGCAGCTTGGGTCAGATGTGAAAGAGCCAGGATGCATGGAGCAAAGGGAATCATAGGCTGTAATTTACTGGCAAGGCACCCAAAGGAGATGGGTAGATGGACCAAGGAATCTACCAATGGGTGGAGCAGCTGAAGCCAAATAGATCCCAATATCAACCGTGGAATCCAAGTGAGGGGTATTCTCACAGAGGGACTCTTGCCTTAGCTCAGTGTAGAGGGAGGAAGGGAAGAAGGAGAGAGGAGAAGACGGAGGGGGGATCTGCAGACAGACCCTTGTGTTGTCCAGCAGCAATCTAGAAATGCCCTCCCAGACATGGCAGAGGGCAAAGAGTGAAATAGTGTGTGCATATGCATGTGTGCATTTGTATGTATGTGCATATGTTTGTGTGTATACACTTATGTACACGTGTCTATGCACTGTGTGTATTTGTAAGTGTGGCAGCGGGCAAAGAGTGAAATAGTGTGTGCATATGCATGTGTGCATTTGTATATATGTGCATATGTTTGTGTGTATATGCTTATGTGCACGTGTCTATGCACTGTGTGTATGTATAAGTATGTGTTAATATGTATGTTGATGTGTGTATGCTCATGTGTGTGGGTGTGAGTGTGCATGTGGGGGTGGAACAAGTGAATGGAGTATAACAACAAGGCTCAAAGAGAGTGATGGACACAAACTGCCTTCAGGGAGAGATGCTAAGGCCAGAAAGGGGAGTGGATGCAAACTCAGCCATTGTCTATTCTTAGGACTTTAGATGTTTATAGCACAAGCCAGATTCTTATGCCCACCAGTAAATAAACATACAGGGCCTGGGGATGCAGTTTAATGTAGAATTTTTTCCTGGCATGCAAAAGGCCTGGACACACACACACACACACACACACACACACAGGAGAGATAGCTCAGTGCTTAAGAGCACCATCTGCTCTCTCACAAGACCTGAGTTCAATTCCCGGGATCCATATGATGGCTCACAACAATCTGTAACTCTTGTCTCTGGGGATCTCATGTTCTCTTTCAGCCTCTGCAGGCACCAAACACTCATGTGATACACAGACACACATGTAGGCAAAATGTCCATAGACATAAAATAAATACATTAAAAAAAGAGAAATAAGCATAAATACAACAGTGACTTTATGTGGATGTGTGGTCAGGGAGGGCTTCCTGGATGAAGTGAGCTAATGGCTTTGAAGGACCTAACTATGGTAAGGGAGAGAAAAACGCACTTCAGGAACAGTGGGGTAGGCTGCCAAAGTAGTGTCCCACTGTGATGAGCCAGAAGAGGAGGATGAACAGGCCATACAGGCCTCTCAGAATGTGTCTTATGACAACTAGAGGGTCAGCGAGGCAGGGATGTCCTAATCTGCACGGGAAAGCACCAATGGCCACCAGATGAGGACAGACTAAGGAGGCAGGAGACAGGGCAGGAGGCTCAGAGGGGTGTAGGTACCTAGTGAAGGTAACACAGCCTGCAAACAGCAGATTCAGGATTCCAGCCCAGTCCTGCCTGAGGCCTTACCCATTGCTTAAAGAGATATTCCTCAGAGACCCAGAGGGAAGCAGGGCTCAGTCATTGAGGAACAGGAATCAAAGCATCCCACATAGACCCTCCGGGGCTCTAGAGCGGTGCACTTCCTCCTAAGGAGCTGTGGCATGGGGCTGTGTGGGGAGGCAGATGGCGCTAAATGGAGACAACTGGGACACAGCAGGCTGCAGACAGAAGGAAGGAAGGACCCGATCTGAGGAAGGACAGGCTGGGTCAAGGAGGGGCTCACTCACGTCTCTTCTGAGGCTTCTGTCCTGCTTCCACGGAGACCTCTGTGTTCTCACCAAAGCCTTCCTCTGCTCCAATGTGCTCTACTTTGGAGAAACACCAGAGATGTGATGTGGATCACACAATCACAGAATCCCTGGTAAAGCCACTACTGTCCTTCCTGTGAGAAGGTGTGGCTGTCAGCCATTTCATTAGGTCAGGAAGGAATTAAGGATGAGCCTAGATCAACTTCCCCCGACTTACTGAAGAGGTCCTTGCTCAGGCCCTCCAGCTGGGTATCCTGGAACACGTACTGATCCAGTTCCGCTGCCAGTTGAGGAAGCATACAGTCAGTCAAAGGGTTCCCAAGGAGGCGGTGGTGGTACATGCCTCAGAGGCAGGAAGATTTCTTAGTTCGAGGCCAGCCTGGTCTACAGAGTTCCAGGACAGCCAGGGTTATGTAGAGAGATCCTATCTTAAAACCAAAAACCAAAACCAACCAAACAAAGGGCTCTCTGAATTCTTGCTGTGTGTCTAGCCTCAGGCCAAGAACCTTCTGGGCCGGTGCACAGTAGGGTCTCTATAAAGGTTACTGAGTGTACTTTGAATGAATGAACAAACACTGCTTTTCATGTGCTTTCTGTTTTAGTAGATGAGCAAAGTGTGTGCCCATGAAGACATCTGCCATCATACAGTGCAAAGCAGAACAGTAATGCTGGCACTGGGGTTGAATTCAAATTCTGTCTTTATTCTCCACTAGCTCCCTTTGCTAGATGGCCTTGGGCTGGTCACTTAATGTTTCTGGTTCCTGTTTCCTCATTTGAATGAAGAGAACAAATAGTGGGTACTATCCAGAGGTGGGCAGGAGTCAGGAAGGCTAGAAGTATGTTTAAAGCACTCCATACCTGTAGGCACCCATACATAATGGTAAATTAAATGAAGCAGGAAGACATTTGCATGGCCTGGAACTCACTATGTATCAGTGTGTTTTGTGTGTGTGTGTGTGTGTGTGTGTGTACTCATGTGGATATGAGTGTGTGAGTGTGTGTGTGTGTGTATGTGTCTGTGTATGTGTATTCATGTGTGTGTGGGTGTGTGTAGTGATGTGTGTGTGTGAGTATGAGTGTGTGTGTGTAATTGTGTGTATATTCATGTTTGTGAGTATGTGTGTACTCATGTGTATGAGTGTGCATGTCTGTGTGAATGTGTGTGAGTGTGTGTGTACTCATATGTGTGAGTGTGTATATGTGACTGAGTGTGTATACTCATGTGTGTGTGAGAGTGTATGTGTGTGAGTGTGTACACTTCTATGCACCAGTGCCATGAAATGTGTGTAGAGATCATAGGGACAACTGGCAGGAGTCTATTTTTCCACTACCTGATTCCTGGGGCCTAAATTCAGTTCCTCAGGCTTGATGGCAACTGCTATTACTGCATGGAGCTACCCTGCTGGCCCTGCATCTCTTTTTAAGGCTAGACATGCCTTGTCAAATTGCTCAATTTCGGGCACGTCTTTTTTGTGTTTAAGTCAGGGCTTGCAAATGCAGACGCCTTGGCGTGGGATTTCAGATCTGCCATTTAACTCAGCCTTGAGGCCACTTCATCGCTCTCCACCTCAGTTTCCTCCTCTGTGAACAGAGGATTCTCACATCACAGACTTCATCAGCTGCCCCCAAGGTGTCAGTGTGGTCCTACAGGTGTAACCACTAATGTGTTGCAAGCGTCAGCGGCTGCAATGGCAGCTCATTGGCTTAGGTGCTGGGGAAGGGGATGTGGTGTGGGCTTTGTGGAAAAGAAGAGCAGAACGAACTGGAAGTGTACATCTGGAGTGGTGCGTGCCTGTGATCCCACACTTGGAAGGCCGAGGCTAGAGCACTGCCATGAGACTGGCCTGGGATACATAGTTCCAGGACAGCCTGGGCTACAAAAGACCTTGTATCAAAAACAAAACAAAGCAAACCTAACAAGCAAAAAGCATAAAGAAACGGAAAAAAAGTAAGGGAAGTACCATAAAGGGACATGGTTGGCTTGGTAGCCATTAGAGAAGGGGCCAGCATCCCTTTAGTCTTTCCCTTCCTTCTCCTCCTCCTCTTCTTCCTCCTCTTCTTTCTCCTCCTCCTCCTCCTCCTCCTCCTCCTCCTCCTCCTCCTCCTCCTCCTCTTCTTCCTTTTCCTCCATGTCCCCTCCTTTCCAGCCCAAGTTGCTGACCCTAGCTGTGATTTTGGTGGGAAGGATTTAGTGAAATTAATGAAAGAGAATTCTTCTTGGTCCTTTCTCTGGCCTCTGCTGCCTCCTTACCGATGTTGGCATAGGCCTCCCGGGTCTCTTCATCCATTTCCATGTCCTGTAACAGCTTGCTGAACTGGTCGCAGTTGATGGTGTCCATGTCTGGCTCTGCAAGGGGGAAAGCCCATAGGGTGAAGCTTGGGTTTCTGAGAGGAGGGGTAGTGAGGAAGGAGGGTGACAGCCTCAGCAGAAGGTCAGCACAATTAGCAAGGGCCCAGGAGGTGTCCATGGTTCTGACGGGCAGCCAGTGCTTTTCTCCAGCTTGCTAACTGTGATGCCAGCAGAAGAACTGAGAAGGTCAAGAGAGGTTCCAGGGAACAAGGCCCACCTGAGCTGAGTTCGATCTCCTCCTCCCCAGCCAGGTCCATCTGGTCATAGAGGTGGTAGAGGTGTAAGGGGTCGGCATCACTGTTAAGGAGCTCCAAGTAGCTGCCCTCTGGAGGCCCCAGTTCCATGGTGGCACACAGACTATGGCCTGGGAGGAGAGATACACTCAGATATGTCATTGGATGGTAGGAAATGACAGAGAATGAACTTCCACTGCTGCTGAGGGCTGGGGGTGGGAGGAACCTGAGGATATAAACAGCAGGGCTCCGGACACTAGAGGAGCGTTTGAGTCCCATCTGTGAGGCCTTAGGCAAGTGACTTATCCTCTCTAAGCATCCGTTTTCTGGAGCATGGGGAGGGAGTGTTCCTGTGGAACCTTGAAAGGCCAAGGGTGGCTCTGTGCCATGTGACAGTCACATGGAAGCCTCCAGTCAAAGAAAGCTCCCCATGCTGGGGAGACATCAGAGAAGGGTCTCTTCGCTCCCAGACTGGATCTTCTCACCAGAATGTGCACCCACTTCCACTCATGCCCTGGTCTCCTCAGCTCTCAGCTTGGGATTTCCCAATGCCTCCACGGCCATGCTTCCTATGTTTCCACTTGCTTTGGAACTGATTCATAAGTCTCTCAAATAGACCTTCCTTCTCCTCTGCCAGCGGTTCTGAAATGGATGGGAAGCAGAGATGACCATGCTCACCCCCAATATGAAGAAGTGTCCTCTTTAGCTGCCCGAGCCCATGGGGCTCAAGCCATATGGGGATGAGCAAAGACCCTGTCCACTGAACTTCCCTACCCTGTAGCCATATCTTTGAGGGAGTTTCTAGATTTCGTTGATCGAGGTGGGAAGACCCATCCTGAATATGAGCTGAGCATCACGATTCTTCTCTGTCTCTGCTTCCTGAGAGCATATGCAGTGTGATGTCTGCCTCCCATCTCTGTCACCAGGCCTTCCTCACACAATGGCCTGCATTTTCAAACTGTGAGCCAAAATCAGTGCTTCCTTAAGTTACTTCTGTCAAGTTCTTCCTCACAGCAGTGAGATAAATAACTAACATGGTGCCACACCCCAAGCCTGCGGCACACACCAGGCTCTCCCTACACACAGCCCGACTTCCTAGAATTGTTTGCCAAGCTTCACATGTGTCACCCTCCAGCTTCCCTTAGCTAATTATGTTCCTGTCTCAGATGAAGAACCAGATTAGGGTAATGAAGGCAGGGCCACATCCTCTGCTGCCATTTGAGAAATGAAGTCGCAGGTGACAAGACAGTTTCCTCTTCCGAGTCTGTGCACATTGAGGTGGGGTGCCTTTTTGGTGACTGGGTGAAGGCCTTCTGCAAACTACCCTTCCCCAGAGGCTTCCACACCCATTTGAGAAGACATCTCCGACACTTTCCACCGTTAGTCCTTTGGGGAGATTTCTGTCCCCACTACACACTTCAGTAGAGGGTTTGGGTTTTGTGGGGTTCCTTTTGTTTCGATTGGGTTAATGGTCATGCTGTGAGCTGAAGTGCTCAACAAATTTAAAGATCCCAAGATGTCTGAAAAAGGTCAGCATAAAAGTCAAAGTCTTGGCAGGCAGCTCCATGGTGCCGGTAGCTGCTGCTGTGTTTCAGCATGTGAAGAAAAATGATATCTATGTGTATGTGTTTGTGTCTGTGCATGTGAGCGAAGTTCCCACACGTGTCAGAAGAGGGTGTGGTAGCTCCTGCGGCTGGAGTTACAGGCAGTTGTGAGCAGCTTGATGTAGCTGGCAGGAACGGAACTCTGATCCTCTGGAAGGGCAGCAAGCACCACTAACACCAGAGACACCTCTCCAGCCCAGTATAGTTTGTTTTAAATGAACACCCTGTAAGTTGTCAAAGCCAGAGGTGGGGGTGTTATTCTTTCTAGGCTCTGTCCCAGTTACTTGGCAACAGCCAGGCATGCCTGTCTTACTATAAAAGAGACTGTTCACCCCCTCCTCACTCTCTTACTCTCCTACTCTCTGTCCTTTCTCTCTCTGAACCCTTTCTCCCTCTTTCCCCTTTCCCCCATCCCCCTTCGCTCTATGTGTTCCTAGCCAGCCTCTACTCCCACTCTTCTCTCTCTCTCTCTCTCTCTCTCTCTCTCTCTCTCTCTCTCTCTCTTTCTTCTCCTTTCCCATGCCCCAAATAAACTCTATTTCCATACTATACCTGTCATGTGGCTGGTACCTCAGGGGAAAGGGATGCCTCAGTATGGGCCTGCAGAGGCACCCTCTCCCACCTCATCATACCTGGTTCTATCAAACATACCCTTGGCTCTTTCTTTTCTATAAAATACAACAGCAGGGAGGGAGGTTCTGGTCCAATAGCTCATGGAAGGAGATGAAGACTTAGGCCTGGGCAGGAGGAGGCGAGTGCCATAGACAAAGAAGGAAGTAACTCTCTGGCTTTGTGTGTCCTCAGAGTGAGCAGCTCAGGAACATGCACAGAGGAGGCTAGCAGAAACTGCTAGTCTCAGTGAAGACTTTCACTTCCTTCAGGGGCTTCAGGTGATCACAAGGGACAGAAGGGAACTGGGGGATGTATGTAATATTGAGGGACCGGGCTAGAGTGTTGCTCAATGGTCGTGATCTTGCCTAGCATGTGAAAGATCTTTGGTTTCATCCCCAGTGTGCACTCATACACACACACACACACACACACACACACACCATGGAAAGCATTGCTGAGGGACTTTGGAATCTGGAAGACAATGGGAGGTCTGGGCACTTCCTTTAAAGGAGGAAGAGTGGAAGACCTGTGTATGAGAAGCTCCACATCAGGAACATCTGGAGATACGATTCTTGTTTGACCCCAGGTTGCCGCTATGAATGGCAGGTTGAAGTATGGCTTCAAAACTGGGGCTTGAATCAGATCCATGATATTAGTGGTTTTGTTTCCCAAGCTAGTAAGTGCATTTGAGTGCAAGTGCACACAACGTTTGTGCACATGGCCATCATAATGTTTCTATACAACAGCTCCAGTTCCCAACTGTCTGCTCCTGGCCAATACTTCTCACAGTTATGGCTTCTTCAGCTCCTGGTTTCCACCTCTTGCCTTGAAGGCTGTCTCAAGTCCTTCTGGCTTGGCCTGCATCAAGACATAGCTCAGGATACAGGGTCACTGGGATGGGGCAGTGAGAGTGAGATGCTTGAAGTTGTGAGGGGACTACCTGAGGACACAGGGTTGGCACTGGGAACACCAGGATTGCAGCTGTGTGGTGCTGGGCTCCCACTGCAGCTCATTGGGGGAAGGTGGTTAAGGGATCTGAGATGAAATCACCCTATGGTTGTCCTCAGCCTATTCCCAAGCTTGTTCTCTGTGTCATAGTACCCTCAACCATCTTGGCGTTTCTGTCCCAGCTCCCTAGCTCTCCTGGGTTCAAAGCAGCTAGCCAGTTTATGGGAAGACACAGTAATTAGAAAAACTGGAACTAGATTTGGCTTTGGTCCCTGGCAGCAAGCCACAGGGCTTTTCCATGGTGGAGGTGGGGCAGAAGAACCCAGGGTAGCCCAGACATGGGGGCAGCTAAGTTCACAACAGTCCAGTATCACAGGATTAATACAAGAGTCACTTTGCTCTGGCAGAGTGTGTGACTCTGGGAAAGTCCCTTCCTGTCTCCCTTTCCTAGGTCTGTCATCTGTTAAATAAGAGAGCTGTAGTAGAACAGTGGCTTTCAGGTGACATTTTACAAGAATTCCAGATCCTTTAACAAGTGAGAAAAGGTTGTCAGCTGAAAGGGCATGGAGGAGCCCGGAACCTCTTTCTCCCTCAGAGGGGCTTCACACAGCACTCTAAACACACAGTTGTAGCTGGGTATGATCATACAGGTCTGCAATCCCAGCTGCTAAAGAACCTGGGGCAGGAGGATCATGATTTTGAGGGCAACCTAGGCTTTGTAGTGAGACCCTGTCTCAAACACATAAAGCAACAGCAGCAAAACTGAGATCCAAGCCTGATGGAAGAATCCTGTGATAGGTTTTGAGTGGCAGCAGGAAGATTGAGGTTCAAGGCCAGTCTGGGCTTGTACAACAAAGTAAAAACAGGGTTGGGGTGTATAGAGGAGTGGCTCAACCTGGAAGAGGCCCTGAGTTCTGTCCCTAGGTCTGCAAGACAAAGACAAACAGAACTATTCCACACAACTTTTCTGCACGAAAGACATCAACCCAGCTTGTACAGTTCTAACTTCACATCATTCAGGAAAAGCAAGAGGGGTCTGATGGTTGCCAGAGGCTGGCAGAGACAGGAATGAACCGGTGTAGAGCTGCAGTTTACAGGGCAGTGAATCCACCCGGAAGACACTGCTGTTATAAGCAGGACACATCATTACAACCTGTCCAAACACATGGGATGCATCCTACCAAGACAGAGCCTAAACTTTAGACTTTGAATGTCAAGTGATGATGAGGTGTTACTGCAGACTGAAAGGCAGCAGCTGAGGAGACTATGTCATGGACATAGTAAATAAGAAAAACATCTCTGCAGCTTCTGTTAAATATTGCTGCAACTATTAAAAACATTTTTTTAAAAAGCAAGCAAACAAACTAACTAAAGAAGACTAAGGCTAGTAAGATGGCTGAGTCAGTAACATGCCTTGTAAGAGCTCAGGCCTGAGTTTGGATTCCGAAGGACACATAAAAAACAAGGACGTGTGTGTCTTATTCATAGTACTTGGGCAGGGGTTCAGGCAGATTGCCAGAACTCATTGGTCAGTCGGTATAGCTAATTAATGACCTCCAGGTTCAGTGAGAGACCTTGCTAAAATAATAAGATATACACAATGCTACTCTCGAATCTGCATGCACATACAGACACCATAACACACACACACACACACACATACACACACACACACGGGGGGGGGGAGAGAGAGAGAGAGAGAGAGAGAGAGAGAGAGAGAGAGAGAGAAAATCATCATCAACATCACCATCAACAACAACAACAAACCTGAGCATGGTGTTACCCTGGGGAGACAGAGATAGACAGACGGTCTCTGGAGCATACTAGCCAGCTACCTAGCCTTATCAGTGAGACCAAGATTCCAGCAAGATACACTATCTCAAAAATGAAGGTAGATAGCTCCTGAGGAGTGACACTCAAGGTTGATCTCTGCCACACATACAAGCACACATATTTTAAAAGAAAAG